ACAGTGGCAAGAGGCACGTTCAAGTGCCCTCCCAGCACAAGGAGTAACCGCCTGAGGGGGTTAGGGAAGGGCTAGAATCAGAGCGTGGGCTGGGGCGAATGCCAGTCCCCAGCCACGCCAGGGGGGTAGAGAAGCAACGGAGACCGTATGCACCATGTAGGGTTCACACTTGTACGGGGCAGAAGGGCCCAGACCCATCGGACTAAGGGGCTGGGAGCGTGACCCCCTTGGCACCGCAATTTAACGCAGCACCCTTCATGGACTGGGAATCTGCTAGTGAGGAGCCGACAGGACCACTTGAAGGACGTGGGGGGGGGGATTATGAAGGAGCCCGGAGAGCCGGGACAACAAGGTTCGCCTTGCATTGTTCATATTAGTCTTGGGGCGGCCCTGAGGCTTCACAGTCGTGGGGCGGCCCTGGGGCCTGGGCTGGCGCTTTAGGGGGCTTCACAGTCGTGGGGCAGGCCATCGCCCAACAGAGAGGTGGCCACGGCGCAGTCCGGGTTATTGGTGCCCCACAGTCGTGGGGCCCTTCTTGTAGCAGTAGGTGTCGAATTTTAGTATTGGAAGGTTCGCCCCCGCGGCCGCTCCCATAATAGGTGGGTAGCTTTCAAGGGGATAACCGTGCTTCACATGGACCCCATGGAGAGCAGTAGTAGGGGAGAGGTTTGCCGAGTAGGTATTGCTATCTAGTCGCGGGGTTACACGTGACCGTAAAGGTAAAGGGATAAGCGAGGGGCAACGTTAGAGCTTCACAGTCGTGGGGCGGCCCTCCTTTTGAGGGAGGATGAGAGTGGGGTTGTTAAAAGGGCACAGTCGTGGGGCGTTGCTCGCCTGCCTCTCATTGTGAGAGGGGGGTGGGCAAGCTTCAAAGTCTGGGGGGAAGGGATGAATTGCCACTTAGTGGTGGGGGGACAAGTGACAGCGAAGGGCGAAGGTAAGAGTTTGGCGATAATAAGGCTTCACCGTCGTGGGGTGGCCCTCCTGTTGAGGGAAGATGAGAGTAGGGTAGTTAAGCGGGCTTCACAGTCGTGGAGCGGCCCCCCTCCAGAAGGAGGACGGTGGCGCATTCCATATAACGGGCTTCACAATCGTGGGCCGTGTCTCGCCTGGTAGGCATCCGTAGGTAGATTACATAGTACCCGAGTAATAGCGGTCGGGGCACGGCATATACAGTGCGGCTGGCCGCTGCCGCCGCCGCTTCGCTTCATTAGGTTGACGGTCATGTTCCCTTTTGTTAGCGCACGATACGGTAACACTTGACCCGTGCCTTAAACGACAGCCGAGACAATCCTCCTCCTCCTCCCTATGGGACACACAGTCCTGGCAAATGGGACGCACAGTCCCTGTTATGGGACACGCAGCCCTGGCAAATGGGACGCGCAGTCCCTGCTATGGGACACACATTCCTGGCAAATGGGACGCGCAGCCTCGATTATGGGACGCACAGTCCTGGCAAATGGGACGCACAGTCCCTGTTATGGGACACGCAGTCCTGGCAAATGGGACGCGCAGTCCCTGCTATGGGACACACATTCCTGGCAAATGGGACGCGCAGTCCCTGCTATGGGACACATTCCTGGCAAATGGGACGCGCAGTCTCGATTATGGGACACACAGTCCTGGCAAATGGGACGCGCAGTCCCTCTTATGGGACACGCAGTCCCCGCGCATTGGAGGATGCCCCATGTAAATCGGAGGTGAGGGGGAGAGATCGAAGTGGAACGGAGAGCCCCCCTACCGGGAAATCGGTTTCGGTTTCGTGTTCGTGCGCGTTGGTTATTCCCCCCCCCCCCCGAAACCTCCTTATCACCCGACGGGTGGTCGTTTTGGTACGGAAGAGGCGTCTCTTGTCTGGTATCGCGTTATTTGGTCTCCTCATCCTACTGTTCCTCTTCCTCATCCTATTCCTCCTCCTCGTGCTTTTGGCCCCGTGCCCCAGACACGTCGTGGAGGAGTAGCCAGGTAGGTTCATGCTTTGACATGTTGATAGTTCGCAGACCTTATTAGGCCGTAGCAGGCCTGGGGTCTCCGCAGTTGCACGCGGGCCACAGGTGGCAGTGTCAGGCATGGGGGTGGGGGGCTTACCAGCCACCGTGCAAAGGGCCCGCGTGTAGGCCATGGGTGGCCACAGGCCGTGCAGTGGAGGGCATTGGCGCGAGTGTTGCACAGCATAGGCGTGGTAGTAGCCGCATCTTCACAAGTGTTGCATCCATGGGAGTACGGGGATTGGCACGGGGCAGCTAAGTGTGCTTCACAGTCGTGGGGTGGCCCTCCTCTGGGAAGAGGCCAGGCGGTTGTAAACCATCCTGCTTCGCAGCCGTGGGGGACTTTACTCGTGCATTCCAGGTTGCATCCCACTTGAACTAGCATGGCATACCACACAGTCAGGTAGGTTCATGCTTTGACATGTTGATAGTTCGCAGACCTTATTAGGCCGTAGCAGGCCTGGGGTCTCCGCAGTTGCACGCGGGGCATAGGTGGCAGTGTCAGGCATGGGGGTGGGGGGCTTACCAGCCACCGTGCAAAGGGCCCGCGTGTAGGCCATGGGCGGTCATAGGCCGCGCAGTGGAGGGCATTGGCGCGAGTGTTGCACAGCGTAGGCGTGGTAGTAGCCGCATCTTCACAAGTGTTGCATCCAGAACATGGCGTGCCACCATTGTTAGGGCACGAAGCGGTAAAACATTACCCGTGCCTTAAACGACAGCCGTGACAATCCTCCTCCTCCTCCCCTTCCTCCTCCTCCTCCCCCTCCTCCTCTTCCTCCTCCTCCTCCTCCTCCTCCTCCTCTTCCTCCTCCTCCTCCTCCTCCTCCTCCTCGTCCTCCTCCTCTTCCTCCTGCCGCATGGCCGAGGCGCTCGGTCTCTCCTTCGCCCGCGCCCTACCGCCCCACGGCTAAGGAAGAGGAGGAGGAGGAGGAATTTTCCTCCTCCCTCCCTCCCTCCTCCTCCTCCTCCTCCTCGTCCTCGTCTCCTCCTCTTCCTCCTCCTCCTCCTCCTCCTCCTCCTCCTCCTCCTCCTCCTCCTCCTCCTCCTCCTCCTCCTCTCCTCCTCTCCCTCCTTCTCCTCCTCATTTGCCTCCTCCTCCTCCTCCTCCTCCTCCACCATCCTCCTCCCCTCCTGCTCCTCCTCCTCCTCCTCCTCCTCCTCCTCCTTCTCCTCCTCCTCCTCCTCCTCCTCCTCCTCCTCCTCCTCCTCCTCCTCCTCCTCTCCTCCCTCATCATCATCATCATCATCATCATCATCATCATCATCATCATCATCATCATCATCATCATCATCAGCATCACCAGCACCATCATCATCATCAATCATCATCATCATCATCATCATCATCATCA